GTGTCACACGAGATGTACATGGTGTGACTGCACCCAAACAAGAATACGGTATGTGGCTGGGTAGCCAGTTGTTATGCATGTATTTAGATCTTCTTACTATATATACTTAGTTTATTTAGGAGAATCCAAACGTTTAAAATTAGGATAAATATAAATAAAATATTAGTTCTGGATTTTGAACGGAAGAGCTAATTAGCCTTGGGTAAGGCAATAATTACTCTTGGAAATAGCGGATTGCGATCCGCTAACTCGTACTTGTATAAGTATAGAACGAAAGATCGGTGACCTAAATTACGCTTCCTCAAGCGCTAAGCTACAGCAGCCCCGCTGCATGCTTCGTCTGACAAGCCTAAATTCCGAGCGAAATGAATTTTAAGCTCGCAGCCTTTGTCGCAACATGTGTTGTGCATTCCTCAACTTCCAAAAGACATAAGGTGTCCAAATGGTATCCCTACTCCCTTAATTTTGCATTTGTTTTGTATTTGTATGCGAATCACTATCAGGTGCGTCATGCTCCACCTTCCAGAACATTCGACCTAGAATCAAGGTGTGCTAGAATTTTGGGTAGAGTTTTTAAATTTTACTTACTATTTTGTAAGCGGTCTCAGCTCTGCCTGGCTTTAAAAGGTTATGAGGTAGAGCGGAATCATGGCAAGCAACCAAACGCTTCTCGACTCGAAATACTAGCCGCGAGAGTTTTTTTTCGAGCGTATGACGCTCAGCACAAAAAAGTTCTCGGCCACATTGAGATGATGCCAGATAGAACGATGGCACAAACGATTGCAGAGTGGAAGACTGCTGATACCAAGGCGCTAGCTAAATCCACGTGAAGAGAAGCCTGTACAACATGTAAAGACGGCCACTGGCGACAACATAATGGAGCACCCGCTCACGTTTGGCGGCCTATGTACGCGTCTAACTTCTGTGGGTGATGGGAAGTGAGCTTTTGACTACTCGTCTGGGAGGACTTCAGCAGAATGTGATACAATTGTGGGGACCATCAAGACAAGGGGAATATGGATCCCTACGAGGTCACTGGGTGTACGGAGCTTGAACTTTTGAGAAAATGAACTTTAACTTTTGTGGAAAGTATCCGTTGATGTCGTCACCAGTACAAATTTCCAAGTAGATACCATCATTCTGTATCACACAGAATCTTTGTGACTATAAGGTATACCGTTTACATTCTGCAGCCTTCTTCGACCATAACCTTGGTCAGCTTCACATCGAGGCCTTGTCGTGTTTTGACAGAATTACTGTTTCATCATAATCGAGCGCAAAATTAGTCGACGTTTAGTCACTGTTAGACTTTCTCACGTCTTCCCCGGTTTTGATCTCAATGAAATACTTCAAATGATTCAGGTCTGTATCATTGAGCGCTTGTTTGGTCTCGAGAGATATTTTGCCGTTACTGCTAGCAGAAATCAGGTCATTGACATAGATTGCGACGAGAATTATACTCTGGTCAACATGATTGATGTACATTCAGTGACCTGACTTGCACCTTCTGACGTCAAATCCAAGCATATTTTCGTTGATTGTCTTGTTAACATACGAGGCGATTGCTTAAATCCGTTAAAGGAGTTCCCAGCGTGTAAGAAAAATCAGGGTGTTCTTTATCGCTGAAAGCGTCATGATATGTATGGAAATATACTTTTAGGCTGTTTGTTTCAAAATACTGTTCTTACATGCATCTGGCTAGCGGCACGCTATTACTTGGCCGACAAACTTAGCAGAATTCGGATTGACGTAAACTTGGACACAAGTGCAAACGCTTCTTCATTACCAATACCATCTTCTGTTAGTACCCCTTGGCCGCAAGACGCACCTTGTACCGCTTAACCTTGCCATCGCAGTTATCCTCGACGCGAAATACCCAATGTTGCCGATTGCCTTAAGATCTTTTGGTAGTGGCACGAAAGTCCAGGTCATTTGTTGCGAAATGATTTGATCTTGGGGTGGTATCCTTCTTGCCACTCTATGTCATCGCTTAATTTCATCGTCGACTTGACAGTAATCGCCATTGCTCCCATAATGATGTGGTTTGTCATGTGTGTTTCATGGGAGGACCATTTCCGAACATAGCAGTAGCAGTGAGAATGTTCAGTTAGTTCGCGAAAGACGCATATTTAGCAGACTGGCAAGCGCTCAAGTGATTCTTCAGATACATACAAGATACAAGAGATCTGGACATCAAGTTAAAAGCAGCAAACGACTTTCGGACTCATCGGGATGTCGCTATGCGTGCGACAAAACCTCGCACAAGATCAGGCAGGATTGTTAGAAGCGAGGGCTATTCATGGTCATTCATAACTCGGGGACGACTCGAAAAGCACGCGATTGATCCAGAGTTGGACTGGTTCCTACGCGTCTTTCAGTTGTGATAAATTTGCAGTATATAGCAAAGCGGATCTGGCATGAATGTGTTTGTGATGATTGGAGTAGGAGTTACAGTCCGTGGTGATGGCTTAGCCAATCTGATGCTGGAAGCTTTCGCTGATATGGGCTACACTTAGCCATTACATGAAGGTACATCTATATACCTTTTGTGTGCATTGTGGGAATTTATAAGAGAAAAAGAAGATTACAGTATGGTGTTTCCACATGCATACGACGTGCGCAAGAAAAGAATGTGCAGCGGCAAACATATCGCTATGGAATTGGCACCAATTTCTAATGCTTGCGTTTGGAGAGTTTCCGTCGCGTCTCGAGGGACTGCGTATGCTGGTAATGCTTGCCACAAGGTCCCTCGGATTCGAACTCAGAAACAGTGTCTTCCGCTTTATTATCAGTCTCATCAGGCTGTGCCAAATCTTGTGCTTCATAACGTTCTCAAACAGTAACTTCGTTGTTGGTAACTTCGTCTTCCACAAGCGATACCATCTTTCACACATCGCGTGTTATGATCAGCACATACGCAACGGCCTTCAATTTGCTCAGATCAATACAATTTCTCGTACTCCGTCTGGCCCAAAAACGACATCGAACTGGACGAGCGTCAAATTTTGACCATTTTTTCTTCGGGAAATTGGATTGCAACTTGAAATTAGTAACTTGCTCATTATGCGAAACTTGACATATAATGAAGTCATTTATACGAGTAATATATTTATGTTATCAACATTTTGAATGTGCATCCGGCTTTGAACGTGTAATGTAGACAGATCTTTTGTGAATCTTATCAATCCATATGAATTGACCGGTACCACAGGCAGTAGTTGTTAGAGTGCATCATGTCATATGTGAGAGCAAAAGTCTGTACAGCGCACATTCCAATCGTAACGGTACAACTGTTCTTTTGCGTACGAGTATATTACATTTTTATGCAACTATACTATAACATATACTACCTTTTTTTGTAATCGACACAATAAGCACTTTTGTCCTATTATGCCGACATAAAATTCAAGTTACTTATAAACGATGGAGCTTCGTTAAGAATATGGTCATGGGGCACGTGGGCTCTAAGCGCAATCCACATATCTTTACTATCAGCCATATTTTGAAAAACATTAAAATTTGGTCTAGGCTTTATAATTTCTTAAATATGTGCCATTCTTACATAAGAAATATTGCGTTACTTGAGCGGCTCTCGGTTCCGCTCATGGCCGAAGTGTACAAAGTCAACTTCCGTACGTTGCTCACGCGTATGCGCTTGGTCCGACCTCCTCTGTACATTTGTGTCAAGACTGGAAGGATGGTGCATCAGCTCTTCGACAATCTATCCGAGGGACAAAACGGAACGTAATAAGAAAATATGGCTTTAATTGGTCACGAGGTGATAGCATGCTGTAGCTTGACCTCTATAGTATTACACTGGATATCGAGGATGTATGGAGTGGCATTTTAATTGAGCTCTCTGCTAAATAGCGGTCTCACCTGGAAGCAATGATGTGTTATAAGAATGCGTTTAGACACTTCCAGAGAGGCCTCAACCAGTCATTGGTCGGGATGCAATTGGTTCCCACCACTGTTTTGTGTTTAGCTCAGGTACACAATTCTTTTCTTTAACGAGAGTGGCCAGAATGAGCATACATTTAGCAATGCTTAGCACGCAGCAAAATCGTGTTCAATCTTTTGATTTTTGTAGTTCAAACGATTTCTCACTATTAAGCTCTGCTTGCGGCCACCAAAATAGTGAGAAATGAGTTTTTTCGTAAAGTACCTCTGATGCTAATACGATTACATTGATGAAAGGGCTTTATGCAAAAGATGCTGTCAGTGTTCAACACCGCCTGATCAAATATGCCGTCTGCAGTCGAAATATAACTCGCTGCGACGGCAGCGGACTTTATCTCGCAGCGGTAACAGTCACCATTTTGGTGAGCTCCCACCGAGATTTTGAGCGTTCGCCCGAATCATACTGAGCTGTCGAATTCAGTGCGGAGTGCAATTTCCATGCCGTAGAAGCCAATTTCAACACGGGATGAAAAACCTCTTCAAGAACACCAGAGGTGCTTGACCGAGCAGCTCCGTGATACTTGCAGATACTGCATCTGTCTGAGTATCAAGCATCTGCGCTCGATTCTCTCGGTACCCAGAGGTAAAGAGGTCGGGTTTCAAAGCAAGTTTGTGGAATTCGAGGTCAACAAACATCAACTTAAATAGAAGTGACTCATACTACGATGGTTTAGGTTTGTCGATTTCAACTTTCTCAGCGAAGGCTCTTGTGCAAAGGTCAAAGATTGTGTTGACTATCAGGTGAAATTGGGGACTTTGACAGCTTGGACTGTATTATCGCCCGAAACCTCGATTCTGTGTATGACTGCAGAAAGAAAAGGCGTGGCCTAAACGCCATTTATTGCGGATCGACGCGAACTCAAATTCTCTATGACCCACACATGGAGCTTCGCTGAGTCATATACCCGTCTCTGCAAGACATTATGTATTTTGATGCGGACATTAACCTATAATAGCTTCGGTACGGGGCATGGGATTAAACGAAAAATCGAAATTATATCTAGTGCAAAATACCTTGAAGAAGCTCGGAAGGCAGAAGGGGCCGTCATTTTTGGGCTCTTGGGTTCGTCTCTGCTAAGACAGTATTGAATAACCGTATGTTATGGCTTCCAAAAGTTTGAAGTCTATATCAGTTATTAGCTAATGTCTTCTGTGCCAGAGTAAGTGAAGAGTCAATACAACTGTGTGGTGCAATCTTCTGTGCCGGATCTGGGGGAGTGTAAGCGCGACTTTGCAACTAAATTGCCGTGCACTTTGCACATTAAAACCTTTCAGTCCAAGATTTCACGCTAACAAATGCAGAGAGGTGGCTTCGTGTGCTTTTATCAAAAAGCGAAACCGAATCCTCTAGCGTAACTAAGCATCTTGCTGGATCTGCTATTTCAAAAGTAAATATGTCAAGTGGTAACGCTACCAAAAATGTTTTATAAGCATAAAAAGCGTATATTACAAATTTTCTTACATTCTGACGTGCGGATACCCGTCCACATGTATCACGAACATCATCTCTACGAAGAATCATTATTATAAGTATTGATATCTTAGTGCATATAAATATTTACTCCCTACCAAAGTGCAATATGATTTCGCACAACAGCATCAGAATCAAGGGACAAGAAGGTGCGATTGCAGTATTTGCCTGTTTTCGTGTTCCTCCACTATATTCTCGACTAAACTGGGTTTAACATTAGGTATGTCTTTTCAAGACTGTACAAAAATGACCGCCCCGAACAGCCATTGCGCCTAGTATATCACCTCACTCTCTGCAATTTATCCTGCCTGCTTTTCAAAGATATTGTACCGGAAGTCCCCCACTGGCTCTAAAATAGCAAAAGACGCGAATCTGTGATCGACGCGCTTTGAAGTTCATGATGAAGAGACCACGGTACCAACAGCTCAATTATAGTGACTCTCCGAGTCGTGATTACGCATCTCCGCCCTCACCCTGCGGCGAATGGCCTATAATTTGCTAGAGGGGGAGGCACATCGCTGCATGGGTCTCAAACTCCGTACTTTCATCCATCAGAGGAATGTGTAGCGACATCTGCTGTGGAATGGACGACGATGACCAGCGTTATGCCAACCAGCTAGACCTTGATCAAGAAACTCAGCCATTTCTTCTGTGAGCAAGTGATTCATGTCGACACTTGGTCAAATCATCACATCGAACTTACGCCTCTGACTCGTCTTAAGAAGCCCGTCGCAGGTACACGCATATGCGTGATGGCCGCCCGCTCACGCACAGGTAACCACTTCCCGCAAATACCACTATGCGTAGAACAACAGCGTTAGGTAAGCTAGAACCTCCATGATGGACATACCTTGGGTTTTAGAAGCAGGCAAAAGATGCAATGAGTGTCAAACTCTGAATGCGTGCTGGACGAAGAACACACACCGTCTCACCATTTCAGGCCCTTACAGGCCAACTTCAGCGAAGCGGACGCCGCCTGAAGATTTGTCTTATGGATGACTTTGAAATCTACACTAGCGATGTGGACGTCAAAATGCCATCTTGTCAAATTCTGGCTATTATTAGTTCATCATATCCCCATGAGCATATGTAACAGCCATCAGTCAAGGGTCGCTCTCACCTCGAGTTTGGACACAACACACAAGAGGAACGCGAGGTGCAACAGACTAATTCTGCTCCTTCTTCTAAAAAAAAACGAAAGGCACCAAGCCAATCTTTGCTTGAACTGAAAACGAGTATTTTAAATGAGACTATCTCGACCAATCTAATAAGAGTATAGTGTATCCACCAGCCCACCGAGCTCTCGACGTGAAAGTGGCCCACCCCTTGCTCTTTGGTAAATACCGGCAGTGGTCAATCCTTTGCGGCTAGCTCTCTTGAAATTTCGTGTTTCCGGCAAGAGATCTGTTCAGAAATGTCGGCGTGCGTCGGAGGCTGAGATAATACAGATCTCAAATCTGCTCTCTGAGCTTCACCATCGCACTGCTTGGCTTGAGGCACATCCAGTGGCTTGGACCCGCGTCACAACTTCGAAAAAGAGAGCAGTTCAGTTATATGAGATTGTTAAACCGTTGAACTGTTGCAACACAGCTCCCTATATTAGACCGACTCGTCAAAGCGGGATCGTAGTCTAGCTCTAGTCAGCCGTAGTAGAACTCTGCATTTATTTAACTTATCTCTAGAGTATTAAGATTATAGCTCAATCTTATTTCGCAACAGCCGCGAATGGTCTGATGGAGCACGGTCGCAACTTAATCTTATCAATCTCAAACACTGCATGTATATGCAAGCTAATTACGAGCAAAAAGTCATTGACCCCAATGCATATTTCGCCCGCCTCTATGCGTCTCTATTGTTGGTCCTTGCACTCAGCTATAGCGCCAGGCATCCTTTGCATGACACTTAACCTAATTGAGATATAAGAACTAATTTTCCTGCGAAGTTAAGCAGAGATACAACTCACAAATAAATTTTGTTCGATACCCCACCCCTACTAAGATCGGCTTTACTGTTTTATGGCGTCAAAGGCAATCAAATGCTTACTTAATCGATTGAGTGAAGCGATACAAGGCCAAAAGAGGCGTGTATTGCTTAATATAGTGCAAGAATCATGTTTGTGATTACCTGCTACAGTCTCTCATTGCAACGTCCTTGAAAAATTATCCGCCACGGTACTCTTCACGCGTTTTGATTGACCATCTGCTCGAGGATGATTAGTGGTTTAAATATTTAATTTCGTGCTGAGCACCTCGGATCAAGTTTTTAAAGTCCGATAATAAGTTCAGATCTCGATCTGGTCTAATGGTTGCTGGCGAGCTATTTTACGAAGCAATTTGCCAAGAAACAACATATCTGGATTCTTACTGGCTACACTGCCCATGACAGCAGGGAGATGAGCCAACTTTCAAATGCGAACCACAAAACACATCTCCGGTGTTAATGGGCGCGTTTGTAGGCCAAAATTAAGTCCGTTCTTTTGGACTGGCAACACTCTGCCAAACCCGGCGGAATATCCAAAGATTTTGTTGCATGAAGCGGACACTAAACTTGTGACATGCTTCACACCGAAAACATAAGTGCCCAGCCACTTGTATAAGCTGTGCCACCAAAACGTTGCTCCACATGGATGTTCTATAGTTGATGTTTCTAGTAGGATTATATCATTCCCTAACTCCAGAAAAGACCATTGAACAGCAGCAGATTGAGGGACGTAGGCAAGACAAAATAAGTTTACTTGCATATAGTCATAGTCTTCTAAATGAAAAGGCTAACAAAACTATCATTCTCCCTTCGGCATCATAAAGCCGCATCTCTTTCGCCTTTGCTGCCAACGCAGATGGTCCAGAGAAGCTCAAACCATTATTCACTGGAACGGCCAATAAGCCCCGCTATTCCAGTCGTAAGACAGGAGAGCAACTAGGTTTCTGTTATCTAAGCAATAAAAAAGGGTGGATGACTGGCGCCCTCTTCCAGAAGTGGTTGGAAGGCTTGACAACGACATGAAGGTACAATATGTAAACGCTTTAGATGTGTTCTCAACTATTTTAATCACTGTTCATTAAGGCTAAAGATATGCGGATCCTCCTTTTAATTGAGTTTTTTTAGATAAACTCAATTCTCACATATCGACGACTACGAGGTGAATAACGTCTAGATGATCTTCCTTTCTCCATGCCGCACTTGGCTTACTGCCACTTCTACCGTCCGAGCTCTTCTCGAAGCATTTATTAGTTTAATCGCTATAAAATTCGCACAATATCATGTCCTGCGCGGAAGCAATCACAGCTTCGTGCCCACACCAGGGAACTTCGGCTTCTGGTGGAGGTGGGTTGATGACTCGCCAAAGCTCTACATGAGGAGAGTGCGTGACGCCTAGCATTTCTGACTTTCGATCGCCTCATGGCTCGTTGCGCTCCAACCACGCCATACTACTGTGATTGTTTCTAGGATGTAGGTAGGGTAGGACAACCACCCATGCTCTCAGTCATCAAACTTCAAGTGACCGCTCAATATGACTTTAGTAATTGTTTCGATGTTAAACATATACTGTATCCGTATTTGGCAATCTGGCGTCTTCAATGCCTCCGCATACTCGAGCGTCATTGTGTAACTAAACGACAATTCTCGATCTATCAAGGCCATCACACGGCTTCAGATACTAAAAGACGTTGATAACAGACTACTAAGGGTATATTTGAGCTGTACAGTCGAAAAGAAAATTCACGTGTTTAGCCAATCATCCTCTACGGATCAAGTTTCTCAAATGTATAAACTAAGGCTTATCTTCACTCGAATAAAATGAGCATAATCATCTCACGTCGAAATTTTCGCGACGCGGTAAAGTGTGTCCAGCATCTCCTCAATATCTCCATCCAGCTCGTAGCACTCGAGTGCGGCTACAACTTTTTCATCGTCACTCAAAATCAAATTCTTTAAACGTGCTTTTTCTTCAGCTGAAATTAAATTGTCTGCTGCAATGCGACTCGCTGCTTTAAGTGCCAATGCATAACGTGCACGATGCGACAGCGTACATCTTTTCTGTATTTCTTGTTCTCCCAGCTCTCCCTCTGACAGAACGAGAATGCTTATAATCAGCTGTGACCTTCCTTTATTCGGAACTTTCCTTAATTGCAGATGCCTCCTCACCGTCAATGATGCCTTTCTCCTCCAGGTCTGACACAGAGGGCCTGTGACGCAATTGGCGCGCAATCTGATCCACCTTTAACTGGCGTTCGAGCTGGTGCTTGGCTCCTTGCAGCACGGGGGCTACTGCCGCATTTTCGTCTGTTTAATCACATGATACAAATTTATATGATACCATATAACCACTAACGGTGAATGAGCCACACACCCACTTACCTTCCAAAATGTTATGCGAGACAAGATCGTCCTTTTCAGGCCGAGATTCGAGCAAGTGTGATACCTGATTCTGAACCAAGTTCCGCTCAAGCTTCTTAGCTGTAGCCGTGAGACTAGGCGCCAGCTCAGCACTCGTCTCGAGCACACCCGTAATGCGTAACTCTTCAACGGATGGGCGCTTGGTCAAGTGCTGATTCACCTTATCCGAATTGATTTGTCGCTGCAGCTTTTCCTGTGTAGCTTGCAAGCTGGGCGCTACACCCTCACCTCCGTGCACGATGGCCAAATCGCGCAACTCTTTTAAATCTGGTCGACTCTCGAGACGGTGAGCCAGCTCATCGGCGCCCATCTTGCGCTGAAGTTGTTTTTGAACGCCCTGCAGTGTCGAGGCTACGCTTGAGGAAGCAGTGGGTAGTACATTGCGTTGCTCGAGTTCCTCAGCGTGCGGACGCGCCTCTAGAAGATGGTCAATTTTCTCGCTGGCGCGACGGTGTTGCTCGTGTTGCTCCTCAGATGTCATCTTTTGTTCTGCAACAGCTAACGGCACCTGAGCCGAGTCACTGTCACTCGTAGTAACCAACCTGGACGTGGGCACCTTACTTTTGCCGCCTTTGGACTTCTTCGCCATATTATTCACAACGGGATCTTTCGATGGGTCAATAATAGTATGTTTCTCAAATTAAAGACTTCTAGTATGTTATACAACTTCAATTTCTTTAACGAATCTAAACAAACTTATAGGCGCACTCGATGAGTTGCTGCGCTGTGATGTTGGTGTCGCCAGTGCGATTGAGCTCCTCTTTCGCCATCTCTGTCACCAGCAGCAGCTTCTTGACAGAGATCGGGCGATCCGACAGCAATGCAAGCACCTTGTTCTTCTGATCATTTGCAACGGGCAATCCCGTGTGAGTAAGCACGGCGTCCAGCTCGTCCTTCTGCGTGAGTTGTGGCACCTCTAGGCACAGGTCAAACACGTCGCTCAGTTCCACAGCCTGCATCGCGGCAATGTTGGATGTGATACCAATAACCACGAGTTTACGACCAACCACTGGCACAGGGTTGCGAACCAACACCATCAGCGCCTGCAGAACCAGGTTCGAAAAGCGAGGGCCCAGTCCTAACAATTTCTCACAATCAGTATTTTAAGTAATCAAAGATTCTTTTGCCAATCACAGCGTACCAACGTAGTCCATGAGTCGCTCGATGTCGTCCAAGATAATAATGCTAAGAGAGGATCGATACGCTTCTTCAAAGACATTGTAAATGTATGAGCACTTGCCACTTTCTGCGCGCGAGATGAGCTCTGATGCCTTCACCATACGCACCAATGGAAACTCACTTGCAACAGCACAGTACGTGGCCAACGCAGTCTTACCGGCACCGCGCTCGCCGTGAAGCAGCACAGACATTAGCGGTGTCTTGTCGTTTGATCGAACTTGCTCAATTACTCGGATAAGCGCCTCACGCACTTCCGTGAATGAGTTGCCATAAGGAATTAGCCCATTCTTGTAAAACATGGCCAATTGATCACTGGGGGCGCCAAATTTGGGCTTCACTTCATCCAGAGCTAAAGTGAAATCTTCCATGGATATTTCCGGATTGTAATTAGCTATGGCATGCATAGTTTTCCCATCAGTTCCGCGTGAGAGGGCGTGAGCTGTAGCAGCGCGCACCAAGCCTTCGATTTCAGCCCCTGAAAAGTTCTTGGTGCGCTGAACAAGATTTTTGTAGTCTGGATCGTTGCTTACAAACTTGGTAGGGTCAAGGCAGTTATCCAAATCTGCCACAACTTTCGGGTGAAGAGCTCCTTTATCACGGGCACGGTCCGTGTGGATCTTCAAAATCTGAGCGCGACCCTTTTCATCTGGTAAGTTGATTTCAATTTGCACTTCGAGACGACCGGGACGCATTAGAGCTTCGTCGAGCATATCCTTAAAAAAATACGAATGTCAAAATTATTGAAACACAGACTGCAAAAGCTGAAATGTTTCCGTACTTTGCGATTCGTCATGCCAATAACCAGAACGTTGTTCAGACTGTCAACACCGTCGATCTGAGTCAGCAGCTGATTCACGACACTGTCTCCAACCCCTGTACTATCGCGACTTGAGCCACGTTGCTTGCAAATGGCATCAATTTCATCAAAAATTATAATATGCACATCACTCTCGTCTCCGAGTTCTTCTTGGTCCTTGCGGGCATCGGAGAACAGCTCGCGAATCTTGCGCTCGGACTCACCCACGAATTTGTCGAGAATTTCTGGTCCGTTAACTACCTTGGGCTCTTGAGCAGTCAGCGCCTTCGAAATCTTTCTCGCAATCAATGTCTTCCCGCAACCAGGCGGTCCGAATAGCAGCATACCACGCACATGCTGAATGCCAAGCTTCTTAATGACGTCCGTTGGGAATAATCGTGAAGCAAAAGCTCGACGAAAAATGTCATTAAACTCCTTGTCGAGACCACCGATACCAAGCTTAGAAAAGTCAAAGTCGGGCTTGAATACTGTGCGAGTCATGCCACTAGATTGATTTGCGAGGCGAATGGGGGCGTCCTTTCCTTTAGTAAAGTTTATGATCGAGCCTTGGAGATAGGCACCGACGCGTGGAGAAGAGAACTCAGAGTTGCTGTCGCTTCCGTCCACCGTGTCGATGTGAACGCACTGTAGACGCAGAGGAAGACCGTCGCATCTAACAGCCATGAGCTGCCCGACGGCAAATACCTGATGCGTATACTCAGCCTCGAATACATCTTTGAGCAAACCACAGTCCACGACACGCAACTCATTACCCTGCGCACGCGTAAGTACCTGCTGGATCTCGAAAGTCACGGTGCTTAGCACACTTTTGGCAGCGCTAGAGGGGGCATAGACCGAAACCTCACAGGCCTGATTTAATGGAAGCCCTACACACATACGTTGCATGGTGCCAACAGCCACAGTGCCTGATTCAATTTCCTTATGGGGCTTAGCAGCCATGACAAATTTGCGATTTATCCAGACGTTGAGTCCATGCGCACGCAGTTCGTCCTTGGTAACGATTCCTGAAGGGGTTCGCTTGACTAGCGACATAAATTCCTCCATGTGCAGGTACACACAGTTGGTGAATGCATATGAATTTCCGGGTAGTCCTACCACCGCTGCCTCGAACGACATCTTGCTTATGCTTCGTGTCGCCTGTTCAATGTAGATAAAACGAAACTTTTGATCTTTACATTGTCAAAATTTTTGATAATGCATTTATTATGAATCAAGTAGTTCAACTTTAACTTGATAACCCTTTGCTCCGCAAAAAAGCATCTTGATTCGGCGCACGGCCGAGAAACTCCTTGAGCATGACGCTTGCATCCACAGAGCCACCTCGCGCTAGAATGAGCTCACGATACTCTAATCCCGTTTGCGGGTTCATCAATCCCTCTTTTTTGAACCGAGACATGAACATGTCCATAGAAAAAACTTCGCTCCACAGGTAACCATAATACTGGGCGTCATAACCACCAGCCAAGTGGCCAAAGGACGCTGCAAAATTTGTGTCAGGCGTCATATTGATGAGCATGATCTCGTTTTGTAGCTGTTCGAGAAGATGCGCCGTGTCCGTCGTGGGCTGTGAGTGGATCGTCTGGTCAAAGATGGCGAAGAGAAGCTGGCGCTTGTTTACCAGTCCAGTGTTCACATTTTTTGTCGAAATGAGGCGAGCAATGTGGTCGTCCGAGAGTTTCTATAGACAGTACCTCATGAATATGAGAGTGACACCACAATAGAACGATATGCGCACCTCTTTTGTCGTATAATGTGAGGATAGACGCTGTAATGGTTCCTTTTCCCAGCACCAATTTTCCAGCATCTGACTCGGAGCTTCCACAAAGTCACGCTCGACACGAGTGCCAGCAAAGCGAGGGATGGTTACCTCTGAACACAGGCAGTGCATTACGTGACCAAACTCGTGGAAATACGTGACAACTTCCTGATGGGAAAGTAGCGACGGCTTTGAGTTCGTTGGGGCGTTAAAGTTAGCCACCATGGCGGCAGCAGGATACTGTCAACAAGAGCAACAAAAACTGTTAGATGAATGAACACAAACGAAACGATTGACGTCACAAATCGCACCACGCGGACTCGAGCAGAATTAACACAACTTTGTTGCAGCGTGAAGCAGGCTGCGTGACCATACTTTCCAACGCGAGGATACAAATCCAAGTAGAAGTGGCCAACGAAGTTGTCCACTTTACCCGGACGAGCATCGGAGACGGCAAACTTGCGAACATCCTTGTGCCACACGTGGGGCTGCAAAATCTCGGTGAACTTCAAGCTTAATAGTTCTTGGTACATAGCCAGCAGTTCTTCTGTCACGTGCGTGAGTGGAAAGTACTCGCGGAGTTTCTCCGAGTCGATAGAGTAGTGCTTCTTCGTGTACTGGTCCATATAAAAGCGAAAGTCCCACATATTAATTTTTTCATCAAACTCCCACCCATTGCGTTCGCAGTCGGCCGCTTTAAGCTTCAGCATCACCTCCAAATCTTTTTTTGCAAGTGGGGTGATCTGATTGTCTAAGTCATTTAGAAACTTGTTAACATTTGCACTGTTTCCAGCCATTCTGTACCACGCAAAAAGAAGTTTTCAGAGGCAATTCCAAGCGTGTAGCACCATGAGCACTTTTCACCTTTGTTCGAGGACATAAGCGGCGTGATTTTGGTATCCTAATGCCAGCGCCACCTTATGGCGGATCTCCAAAATCTCTTCCAGGATAGCAACGTTCGTTGAAATGCAACGGCGATTAAAGGCATACTCCACAGCCTTGCGTGTTGACATGACAGCGCAAGTATTGAGAATTGGAAACACCGTTGGGTATGAGAGTGTAATCTAGGACATGAAAAGAAAATTGCGTCAGAATGAGCAACGATGGCAAACAAAGGATAAACTTTTTTATCTCACCGAGTACTTGCCATCGTCACCCTTCTGAAGCCCAGCGATAAACTCTTCGCTGAGTCCCTCGAGTTCGTCAAGTGAGAACTGGACTTCGGTGGTCTCTTCTGACAAATTCTGCTGGAACTGAATGCCAAGTTTCGACAACTTTTGTTTCCAGGCCTGTACCTCTTCCTGTTTCTCATGTGGTAGCTGCAGTCCGTTACGCTCGAAATCGTGCACTAGGCGGTGTACATAGCGCTGCGTGACTGCGTCCAATTTCTGCCAACAGTCGATTGCGCAGTAACACTTATCAGGTCAAAGATGTTGATATCTCTACAAGAATTATTGCTTTTAGTGCACCTGGTAGACCGTACTCTTGTACAATGAATGGATTGCTGTGTAAACGTCCGCACGCATACTGCGCAGCACTAAAAAATCCTCAATAGCCTCATCCGCCTTCGTACAGGCATCACGCGTCGCTTTGTCAGTGGCAACCTGGGCGAGAAAAGTCACATTGGTTACGCGGCTGAGCATTTCATGATCCAGATCAATAAGCCTTTGCGCTGTATTTTCAAATGTCACCGCAGCCGGCGACAATGCCGCAATCTCGTCATCGACACGTTTCATCTGCACCAGAATGCGCTCGGTTTCGGCCTCAATTTCTGCTACAGTCAGGTCGAACCGTAGAGCTTCCAATTGGTTGCGTGTTTGGTACATATGCTGCTTCTTCTTAAGGCGCGCCCATACAGCCAATCCCACTATCGTCGCGGCGCACGTTGCCACGGCAAGCGAGTTCTTTTGCTTGTCAGTCACCATGTTAATTTTTTAACTTTGTAAACAGTATAAAAACTCTTAATTCTTGTATTAATATAATCTGCGCTAAAATTGAGCTAAGCAGTGCCAAATCATGCATGCCTAAATCTTGGCCTCTTCCGAGAGCTTACTGGCAGCATCTTCATCTATAAACCAGTAGACTATGCCATCTGTGGGGTTGACATTAGCAGCAGGGAGTGTCGGTGTGCGTTTCTCGAGACCAAGCATGTGCGGGATCAGCTCGGCCTTGCCAGCGCCAGTGGCGACAAATGCAACCTGCAAAGACAAGAAAATCAATATACATGCATTCTGTAAAACTATAAGAAGCCGAGGTGTGGTACATTGGCGGCATTGTTAATCACTGGATAGGTTAGTGTGATGCGCCGCGAAGGTGGCTTGGGTGAGTCCTCGATAGATGCCACATACAGTGTCTTTTCTTCAAGAAGCGCGTGGCCCGGGAAAAGCGAGCATGTATGGCCATCTGGACCCATACCTAGTAGAATCAAGTCGAATCGAGGCAGCTAAGACGAACATGAGAAGTATGATTGAGCTCAGTAAGAAGAGGATCACTCACTACGTTGCTGCCCCAGATTTTGGCCAACTTCTTGGTGTAGTCCACAGCCATATCTTTGGGGGTCAACGAAGCATCAATGGTGCAAATTTGGCTCGCTGGCACAGGAATCTAAATAGAATGGCAGAATATCGTATGTTAGCTGGCGCGAGAACAGCAATGAGATGTAGCGACAGGGTTTTATAATTACAAAATCAAGAAGTGCTGCCTTGCAAGCTTTAAAATTGCTATCATCGTCGTCTAGTGCCACACAGCGCTCGTCAGCAAAGAAAACAAACCACTTCGAGAAGTCGACGCCATCTTTCATAGACTGAAGGCCCTTGTTCAGAATCTATATCAAAGTGAAATATGAGAAGCCCAATTATGTCATCCCCTGAGCTGGTTCCTAACCTGGGGCAACGAGCCACCCGAGAGCGCAACCGTGAAGCGACCCTGTGAGGCAATGGCTTGCTTGCTTTGGTCAACAATAAGCTGGCTCACAGCGTTGCCGACCTCGTCGGGACTGCTGAAGACACGGACCACCATGCTTGCTTAAAACGGATGATAGAATTAATGTGAAAGGCATTAACTATTACGTGCTTAATTGCCTGTCACTTTTCTGGCATGACATTTCATTTTTTGACCTATAAACGTGCTTTAAAGTATGAAGTAAGCCTCACAAAATGGTGTGAAGAACATCAATTTCTTAGCAGTTTTTCAAATATAGATCATTTACATTTCATATTAAGCTGTTAATCGCCAAATCTGATAATACTGAGTCAATACAAAATATTTTCCGATAAATACAGCTGAAAAATTATGTTGCGTACAAGAAACAGATGATAAATACTATTGCACCGACGGCGCTGATACCTTTCTGCCAACTGCTAGACAATCGTCACACTCGCTTACCTCGGGACAACATCAAATTCGAGCCTCTTTGGTGTCCAGTGCTGCCATACTACTATCAGTCCCAATATCCGACAACCATCGTTGACAATCGCTTAGAGTACCTCGCATCTCCTTCGTCTGTGCGCCATCATTATGTCCTCTCGCCTGCCTGTCGAGTAGTGAAAAAAAATGCGGCATCATACCGGCTTTGCTCGACTTTCTTGAAACATTAAAAAACTTTATGAATGAATTCTGGAGAGGTTATCATACCAAAATTGCGTTCTGTTCAGGCTGTTTTTGCTATGTTTAATGGGACTTGGTCTTATACGGAAGGATTGTTATCTGTTATAAGGAGCAATCAAAGTGCATATAGCTTGCAATTTGTGGAACACATTCGGCACCTAGAAATGCATCGTACTTACAGAAATAGCGACTCGACACGTGATGTAATAACGGATTTTACCGATTAGAGTCCAGTCCTGAATAGAGCCCTCAAAAAATTTACAATATCCACTACCCCGCTATAATGACATCAGATGACCTGACAAAAATCAAGGACGAATAGTATGGACGATTGCCACCACAGAAATTTCAACATTTCATTTTGTCATCGACTTGTGGCACCCTGCCACCACTGACAGGTATGGCGGAACGGCACAACGCCATTCCGATGTGGCGAAAGCAAGAAGTTATTTTGTGGATTAAAAAACATGGCGGGCGTGTGCCCAGA